CCGATGCACCATTTTCCCTACACATGTGCGTTAGTTACCTTTCAAACCCTTACGTTCACTAGATGAATTTATTTCCTACCTTCTATTTGAGTGAGACCACTTGATTCCGCGTACTATGCGAGATCTGTGCGCTTCCGTTCTCCCTGGCATTTGCATTTTAAGTTCCGATACTGACCGACCTGGCCAATGCACCATTTTCTCTATACATGTGCCTTGAATACATTTCAAACCTGTTTAGCTGACTAGATTTATATATTTCCCACCTTCTGATCGAGTGAGACCGTTAGATTCCCTCTACTTTTTGAGAAACGAGCGTTTCCGTTCTCCCTGGCCCCACCTGCACTATGAGTGCGAAATGCCGGCCAGACTGGCCGATGCACCATTTTCTCTACACATGTGCGTTAGTTACCTTTCAAACCCTTACGTTCACTAGATGAATATATTTCCTACCTTATATTTGAGTGAGACCACTAGATTCCGTGTATTGTGCGAGATCTGAGCGGTTCCGTTCTCCCAGGCATTTGCACTCTAAGTTCCCATACTGACCGACCTGGCCAATGCACCACTTTCCATATACATATGCATTAGATTCCTTCCAAACCTTATTAGCTCACTAGATTTATATATTTCCCACCTTCTGATCGAGTGAGACCGCTAGATTCCCTCTACTTTTTGAGAAATGAGCGTTTTCGTTCTCCTTGGCCCTACTTGCACTATAAGTGCGAAATGCCGGCCAGACTGGCCGATGCACCATTTTCTCTACACATGTGCGTTAGTTACCTTTCAAACCCTTACGTTCACTAGATGACTATATTTCCTACTTTCTATTTGAGTGAGACCACTTGATTCCGTGTACTATGCGAGATCTGAGCGCTTCCGTTCTCCCTGGCATATGCATTTTAAGTTCCGATACTGACCGACCTGGCCAATGCACCATTTTCTCTATACATGTGCGTTGAATACATTTCAAACCTTTTTAGCTGACTAGATTTATATATTTCCCACCTTTTGATCAAGTGAGACCGTTAGATTCCCTCTACTTTTTGAGAAACGAGCGTTTCCGTTCTCCCTGGCCCCACCTGCACTATGAGTGCGAAATGCCGGCCAGACTGGCCGATGCACCATTTTCTCTACACATGTGCGTTAGTTACCTTTCAAACCCTTACGTTCACTAGATGAATATATTTCCTACCTTATATTTGAGTGAGACCACTAGATTCCGTGTATTATGCGAGATCTGAGCGGTTCCGTTCTCCCAGGCATTTGCACTCTAAGTTCCCATACTGACCGACCTGGCCAATGCACCACTTTCCATATACATATGCATTAGATTCCTTCCGAACCTTATAAGCTCACTAGATTTATATATTTCCCACCTTCTGTTCGAGTGAGACCGCTAGATTCCCTTTACTTTTTGAGAAATGAGCGTTTCCGTTCTCCTTGGACCTACTTGCACTATAAGTGCGAAATGCCGGCCAGACTGGCCGATGCACCATTTTCTCTAAACATGTGCGTTAGTTACCTTTCAAACCCTTACGTTCACTAGATGAATATATTTCCTACATTCTATTTGAGTGAGACCACTTGATTCCATGTTCGATGCGAGATCTGAGCGCTTCCGTTCTCCCTGGCATTTGCATTTTAAGTTCCGATACTGACCGACCTGGCCAATGCACCATTTTCTCTATACTTGTGCGTTGAATACATTTCAAACCTTTTTAGCTGACTAGATTTATATATTTCCCACCTTCTGATCGAGTGAGACCGTTAGATTCCCTCTACTTTTTGAGAAACGAGCGTTTCCGTTCTCCCTGGCCCCACCTGCACTATGAGTGCGAAATGCCGGCCAGACTGACCGATGCACCATTTTCTCTACACATGTGCGTTAGTTACCTTTCAAACCCTTACGTTCACTAGATGAATATATTTCCTACCTTATATTTGAGTGAGACCACTAGATTCCGTGTATTATGCGAGATCTGAGCGGTTCCGTTCTCCCAGGCATTTGCACTCTAAGTTCGCATACTGACCTACCTGGCCAATGCACCACTTTCCATATACATATGCATTGGATTCCTTCCGAACCTTATTAGCTCACTAGATTTATATATTTCCCACCTTCTGATCGAGTGAGACCGCTAGATTCCCTTTACTTTTTGAGAAATGAGGGTTTCCGTTCTCCTTGGCCCTACTTGCACTATAAGTGCGAAATGCCGGCCAGACTGGCCGATGCACCATTTTCTCTACACATGTGCGTTAGTTACCTTTCAAACCCTTACGTTCACTAGATGAATTTATTTCCTAGCTTCTATTTGAGTGAGATCACTAGATTCCGTGTACTATGCGAGATCTGAGCGCCTCCGTTCTCCCTGGCATTTGCACTCTAAGTTCCCATACTGACCGACCTGGCCAATGCACCATTTTCCATATACATATGCATTAGATTCCTTTCGAACCTTATTAGCTCGCTAGATTTATATATTTCCCACCTTCTCATCGAGTGAGACCGCTAGGTTCCCTTTACTTTTTGAGAAATGAGCATTTCCGTTCTCCTTGGCCCTACTTGCACCATAAGTGCGAAATGCCGGCCAGACTGGCCGATGCACCATTTTCTCTACACATGTGCGTTAGTTACCTTTCAAACCCTTACGTTCACTAGATGAATTTATTTCCTACCTTCTATTTGAGTGAGACCACTAGATTCCGTGTACTATGTGAGATCTGAGCGCTTCCGTTCTCCCTGGCATTTGCACTCTAAGTTCCCATACTGACCGACCTAGCCAATGCACCATTTTCCATATACATATGCATTAGATTCCTTTCGAACCTTATTAGCTCACTAGATTTATATATTTCCCACCTTCTGATCGAGTGAGACCGCTAGATTCCCTTTACTTTTTGAGAAATGAGCGTTTCCGTTCTCCTTGGCCCTAGTTGCACTATAAGTGCGAAATGCCGGCCAGACTGGCCGATGCACCATTTTCTCTACACATGTGCGTTAGTTACCTTTCAACCCCTTACGTTCACTAGATGAATTTATTTCCTACCTTCTATTTGAGTGAAACCACTAGATTCCGTGTATTATGCGAGATCTGAGCAGTTCCGTTCTCCCAGGCATTTGCACTCTAAGTTCCCATACTGACCGACCTGGCCAATGCACCATTTTCCATATACATATGCATTAGATTCCTTTCGAACCTTATTAGCTCACTAGATTTATATATTTCCCACCTTCTGATCGAGTGAGACCGCTAGATTGGCTCTATTTTTTGAGAAATGAGCTTTTCCGTTCTCCTTGGCCCTAGTTGCACTATAAGTGCGAAATGCCGGCCAGAGTCGCCGATGCACAATTTTCTCTACACATGTGCGTTAGTTACCTTTCAAACCCTTACGTTCACTAGATGAATATATTTCCTACTTTCTATTTGAGTGAGACCACTTGATTCTATATACTATGCGAGATCTGAGCGCTTCCGTTCTCCCTGGCATTTGCATTTTAAGTTCCGATACTGACCGACCTGGCCAATGCACCATTTTCTCTATACATGTGCGTTGAATACATTTCAAACCTTTTTAGCTGACTACATTTATATATTTCCCACCTTCTGATCGAGTGAGACCGTTAGATTCCCTCTACTTTTTGAGAAACAAGCGTTTCCGTTCTCCCTGGCCCCACCTGCACTATGAGTGCGAAATGCCGGCCAGACTGGCCGATGCACCATTTTCTCTACACATGTGCGTTAGTTGTTGAGAATAGAATGAGAATGAATGAACTATGAATGAAGTGAGTACAAATAGGAAACCCTAACTGGGTTGTACCCCCTATGGGATACCCCACTACAGCCTACACAATAGTATCAGCTACATATATGTTCTGACACACCCCCATAGGCAAAGTGGGGGAGAGCAAGGGGTCACAAGACCAGTCAAGCAAGGCAAAGCAAAGCTCAGGGTGGATCACAAAGTCACCACACAGTCCGAGCACAAGAGCAAGGCCAAAGGCTAGTTCACATGCAAGAGTACAGACATATATATAAAGCTAGACAAGCAAGAGCAGGTATATATATGTCACACTACAAGTAAATTCAAGAGGAGAGCAAGTGAGGCAAGACAGGCACAAGACCCAGCTGGGTGCAGAAGCGCTGATGGTCACAAGGCGCGAGTGCCTTGGTGAACACATCAGCAGTGTTGGCCTTAGAGGCCACGTACGCAAGCCGCAACTGTCCACGCTGCTGTAGCTCACGGGCAAGGAAGTAGCGGAGAGCAATGTGCTTCGTTCTGTGCTCCAGACGCTGCTCTCGACACAAGGCCAGCATGGCCTTGTTGTCTACGTACAGCACTGGAGGATAACGAGGCTGCTCTCCAAGGTCAGTCAGCAGGTAGGTGAGCCAGCGAAGCTCCTGTGCAGCCATGGCCCCTGCGTAGATCTCAGCCTCACAACTGGAGCTGAGAACCGAAGACGAACGAGTAGCCCGCCACGAGACAGAGCCGGAACCAAGGCTGAAGGTGTAACCCCGTGACGACCGCTGTGTAGCCTGGTCGTCAGCCCAAGAAGCGTCCGCGTGACCTGTAAGGACCACTGGACTCCGCCCTCCAAGCACTAGCCCCATGCCCGACGTACTGCACAGGTAGCGCAATACCCTCTTCGCTGCAGCCATGTGCTCTGGTCGGTGTCTCCCAAGAGCAACATAGCGTGCAAGAATGCTCAGAGGGTATGCAAGGTCAGGTCGTGTGCAGGTCATCAAGTACATGAGACAGCCAACAAGCTCTGGGTACGGGCCACTCGACTCTACGGACTCATCCGAAGGCAGAGCTGAGAGTGAGTGGCGAGTAGACAGAGGAGTGGCCTGAGGCGAGGAGTACGTGAAGCCGAAGCGCTGAAGGACCTGCTGCACCATGTGTCTCTTCAGCAGCTCGGACTTCACGTAGGCGAGTCCAGCAGTGTCCGCTGTGGCAAAGACCAAGTCGTCGACGTACACGAGGATGTAGAACGGCGGCAGTTAAGTGTCGGTGCGCAGAAACAGCGACGGGTCAGCAGTAGAAGGAGCAAACCCAAGAGGCGCAAGCGTAGTCCTCAGTGTGTCGTGCCACTCACGCGGTGCCTGGCGGAGACCGTAGACTGGCCGTCGGAGGCTCCACTGGGTGCCAGGAGGGAAAGTCCCAGTGAAGCCAGGTGGACGGCGCAGCCAGATCTCCTCGTGCAGGCTACCCTGCAAGAACGCAGTGCTGAAGTCGAGAGAGTGAAGCTCGTAGTCGCGCTGAGCGGCTATGTGCAGTAGTACCCGAAGAGTGGTCATCTTCGGGGTGGGAGAGAAGGTCTGAAAGTAGTCAACTCCCTGCCGCTGACTGATGCCACAAGCGACGTACCGCGCCTTGAAGACAGGTGGAGAGCCCGGCGGCCGCTTCACCCTGAAGATCCACATGCCACTGACGATGTTCGCCCCAGGAGAGGGAACCGCGTCAACGTAGGTGCCTGTGGACTTCCAGGAAGCCATCTCTGCATCCATAGCTGCCTGCCACTGAGAGGAGTAGGGACCCTCTACGGCCTCCGCGTAAGAGCGCGGAGTCGGGATGTCTAGTGCATCCGGGTCTCCCTCAGGAGCAAGCAGTACAGACGCGAGATGAGGTGAAGCAGCAGCCAGACACTGTAACTCCTCCTGCCTGTCCTCTAGGACGTCCGTGCCAAGAGCACACTCACCCCCGACGGACGGAGGACAGACAGACGCAGACTCAGCAACAAGACTAGCAGCGTAGTCAAGACGACAGCGAGCAGCAAAGTCGACGAGCTCAGCGACAAGAGCAGACGCAGCAGTGGACTCAAAAGAGGGGTCAGTGACGACAGTAGCAAGTAGACGCGTGACAGTAGGACTGGCAGCACGAAGGGAGTCCGACTCAGGGTCGGCAAGCGCAGGAAGAGAGGACTCAGGAGGAGAAGGCAAAGGGGCACGCAGAGGAGCAGTGGACGGATGCAGAGACATCCGGTGCATGCCATGGACAGGAGGAGGACGCTGACGCGAACCGCGACCACTAGCGCGAGCAGGACGAACAGGCGACGCGGGACGAGACGCAGGCTCACGACGCTCAGCGAGACCTCCAGTAGGACCAGTGTAAGGAGAGGGAGCAGGCAGTGGGGAGGAAGGCTCCAACAGTGACTGCGACTGGACAGGCTGTGGACACTCTACCGGAGGAGAAAGACCAAGAACCTGCTGCAGGAGCGGAACGAAGTACGGCCGAGGCCGCGCGGCAGCTCCAGACTCAGCAGGGACAGCACCAGCACCCTCAGCGGCAGCACCAGCGCCACCAACACCTCCAGCGGCAGGACCTCCAGCAGCACCAGCAGCAGAACCACCGCCAGGACAGACAGCAATAGTCTCAGCACCAACACCCTCAGCAGCTCCAGCTCCAGTAGGACCCGCAGGCCCAGCAGCTCCGGGACCGGCAGCACCAGTACCCTCGACGGTCGAAGAAGCTCCAGCTCCAGCAGCACGCCTCCAGTGGCGAGCAAACCACTCGCGCAGCTCCTGTGGAGAGAGGGGCTCCCGTCGAGACGCAGCAGCAGGAGAAACCCCAGGCTTAGCAGCTCCAGACTCAGCACCCCCAGGCTCAGCAGCTCCCGACTCAGCACCCCCAGACTCAGCACCCCCTAGCTCAGCAGCTCCAGTCACAGCACCCCCCGGCTCAGCATCCCCAGGCTCAGCACCCTCCGCAGTAGCACCCCCAGGCCCAGCACCCCCAGGCTCAGCACCCCCAGTAGCAGCACCTCCAGGCTCGGCACCCCCGCGCACAGCACCCCCAGAGTCAGCACCCCCAGGCTCAGCACCCGCAGCAGCACCAGAGTCACCAGTAACCTCGACCGGGTCAACTGCGTCTACCTGGGACACACCTGAGGGGGCAGGAACCTGAGGGGGGAGGGGGTCGACCGGGGGGGGAACCGGCACAAGGAAGTCCGGCGGCGGGGGAAGGGAAGGAGTGCGGTAGGGGAAGAGGCGGTAGAAGGGGACTGACTCGTCGAACGTGACGTTCTGGGAGGACAGAACACGACGAGAGGAGGGGTGGTAGAACTGCCACCTCCGAGCGTCAGGGGGGAAGCCAAGGAAGACACAGGGAGCAGCACGAGGGGACAGCTTGTCCGCAGACAAGTCGCGGACAAACGCCCGAGATCCCCAGACACGGAAGCTCCTGGACCACGCAAGCTCTTGGACCATTCAAGCTCCTGGCCCAGGCAAGCTCCTGGACCAGGCAAGCTCGTGGACCAGGCAAGCACCCGGACCACGCAAGCTCTTGGACCAGGCAAGCTCTTGGACCACGCAAGCTCCTGGACAAAGCAAGCTCCTGGACAAGGCAAGCTGGACCACTGGACTCCGCCCTCCAAGCACTAGCCCCATGCCCGACGTACTGCACAGGTAGCGCAATACCCTCTTCGCTGCAGCCATGTGCTCTGGTCGGTGTCTCCCAGGAGCAACATAGCGTGCAAGAATGCTCAGAGGGTATGCAAGGTCAGGTCGTGTGCAGGTCATCAGGTACATGAGACAGCCAACAAGCTCTGGGTACGGGCCACTCGACTCTACGGACTCATCCGAAGGCAGAGCTGAGAGCGAGTGGCGAGTAGACAGAGGAGTGGCCTGAGGCGAGGAGTACGTGAAGCCGAAGCGCTGAAGGACCTGCTGCACCATGTGTCTCTTCAGCAGCTCGGACTTCACGTAGGCGAGTCCAGCAGTGTCCGCTGTGGCAAAGACCAAGTCGTCGACGTACACGAGGATGTAGAACGGCGGCAGTGAAGTGTCGGTGCGCAGAAACAGCGACGGGTCAGCAGTAGAAGGAGCAAACCCAAGAGCCGCAAGCGTAGTCCTCAGTGTGTCGTGCCACTCACGCGGTGCCTGGCGGAGACCGTAGACTGGCCGTCGGAGGCTCCACTGGGTGCCAGGAGGGAAAGTCCCAGTGAAGCCAGGTGGACGGCGCAGCCAGATCTCCTCGTGCAGGCTACCCTGCAAGAACGCAGTGCTGAAGTCGAGAGAGTGAAGCTCGTAGTCGCGCTGAGCGGCTATGTGCAGTAGTACCCGAAGAGTGGTCATCTTCGGGGTGGGAGAGAAGGTCTGAAAGTAGTCAACTCCCTGCCGCTGACTGATGCCACAAGCGACGTACCGCGCCTTGAAGACAGGTGGAGAGCCCGGCGGCCGCTTCACCCTGAAGATCCACATGCCACTGACGATGTTCGCCCCAGGAGAGGGAACCGCGTCAACGTAGGTGCCTGTGGACTTCCAGGAAGCCATCTCTGCATCCATAGCTGCCTGCCACTGAGAGGAGTAGGGACCCTCTACGGCCTCCGCGTAAGAGCGCGGAGTCGGGATGTCTAGTGCATCCGGGTCTCCCTCAGGAGCAAGCAGTACAGACGCGAGATGAGGTGAAGCAGCAGCCTGACACTGTAACTCCTCCTGCCTGTCCTCTAGGACGTCCGTGCCAAGAGCACACTCACCCCCGACGGACGGAGGACAGACAGACGCAGACTCAGCAACAAGACTAGCAGCGTAGTCAAGACGACAGCGAGCAGCAAAGTCGACGAGCTCAGCGACAAGAGCAGACGCAGCAGTGGACTCAAAAGAGGGGTCAGTGACGACAGTAGCAAGTAGACGCGTGACAGTAGGACTGGCAGCACGAAGGGAGTCCGACTCAGGGTCGGCAAGCGCAGGAAGAGAGGACTCAGGAGGAGAAGGCAAAGGGGCACGCAGAGGAGCAGTGGACGGATGCAGAGACATCCGGTGCATGCCATGGACAGGAGGAGGACGCTGACGCGAACCGCGACCACTAGCGCGAGCAGGACGAACAGGCGACGCGGGACGAGACGCAGGCTCACGACGCTCAGCGAGACCTCCAGTAGGACCAGTGTAAGGAGAGGGAGCAGGCAGTGGGGAGGAAGGCTCCAACAGTGACTGCGACTGGACAGGCTGTGGACACTCTACCGGAGGAGAAAGACCAAGAACCTGCTGCAGGAGCGGAACGAAGTACGGCCGAGGCCGCGCGGCAGCTCCAGACTCAGCAGGGACAGCACCAGCACCCTCAGCGGCAGCACCAGCGCCACCAACACCTCCAGCGGCAGGACCTCCAGCAGCACCAGCATCAGAACCACCGCCAGGACAGACAGCAGTAGTCTCAGCACCAACACCCTCAGCAGCTCCAGCTCCAGTAGGACCCGCAGGCCTAGCAGCTCCGGGACCGGCAGCACCAGCACCCTCGACGGTCGAAGAACCTCCAGCTCCAGCAGCACGCCTCCAGTGGCGAGCAAACCACTCGCGCAGCTCCTGTGGAGAGAGGGGCTCCCGTCGAGACGCAGCAGCAGGAGAAACCCCAGGCTCAGCAGCTCCAGATTCAGCACCCCCAGGCTCAGCAGCTCCCGACTCAGCACCCCCAGACTCAGCACCCCCTAGCTCAGCAGCTCCAGTCACAGCACCCCCCGGCTCAGCACCCCCAGGCTCAGCACCCTCCGTAGCACCCCCAGGCCCAGCACCCCCAGGCTAAGCACCCCCAGTAGCAGCACCTCCAGGCTCGGCACCCCCGCGCACAGCACCCCCAGAGTCAGCACCCCCAGGCTCAGCACCCGCAGCAGCACCAGAGTCACCAGTAACCTCGACCGGGTCAACTGCGTCTACCTGGGACACACCTGAGGGGGGAGGGGGTCGACCGGGGGGGGAACCAGCACAAGGAAGTCCGGCGGCGGGGGAAGGGAAGGAGTGCGGTAGGGGAAGAGGCGGTAGAAGGGGACTGACTCGTCGAACGTGACGTTCTGGGAGGACAGAACACGACGAGAGGAGGGGTGGTAGAACTGCCACCTCCGAGCGTCAGGGGGGAAGCCAAGGAAGACACAGGGAGCAGCACGAGGGGACAGCTTGTCCGCAGACAAGTCGCGGACAAACGCCCGAGATCCCCAGACACGGAACGCCGACGCATCGCCAACCTTCCCCGTCCACAGCAAGACTGGGGACATCGAAGGCCGAGAGACCCTGGGGTGAAGGTTGAGCTGATGCGCCGCGTACCTCACCGCAAACGGCCACAGGAAATGGGGGGCAGCCGCATGCATCATGGACGTACGAGCGACATCCATGACCATGCCAATGCGGCGCTCAGCAATCCCATTTTGCTGTGGAGAGTCCGGAAGCGTGAAGGTCTGGCGGATCCCCCGTGCACGACAGTAGTCTCGCAGAAGGCGAGAGGAGAACTACCCGCCTCTGTCCGAGTGCAGACGCAGAACAGGAAAGTCCGAGCCGAAGCTCCTCCTGAGCTGGAGACGAGCCTCGCGGATCCAGTCGATCAGCACCTCAGTGACAGCACCCTTGCTGCGCAAGGGGAGGACTGTGGTGTAACGCGAGTAGTCGTCAACCACCAACAGGAAGTAGCGCTCGTGACCCTGCCCACGGACGCGGGCTGGGCCCCACACGTCCATGTGAAGCGTCTGCAGAGGAGCCTCTGTCGGGGGGAACTGGGAGGAGTGAGGAGCAGCCCGGAGGCGCCCCTCAACACAGGGGACACAGGAAGGTCCTGGCCCGGAGGGAAGGGGAGGGAGAGACTGGGGAAGACCAGAGAAAAGGACACGGGAAGCCATGCTCCAAAGACGGGGCAAGGAGGGGTGGCCAAGACGCTCCTGGACCAGGCAAGCTCCTAGATTAGGCAAGCTACTGGACCAAGCAAGCTCCTGGACCTGGCAAGCTCGTGGACCAGACAAGCACCTGTACCACGCAAGTTCGCGGACCACGCACGCTCTTGGACCAGGCAACCTCCTAGACCAAGCAAGCTCCTGGACCAGGCAAGCTCCTGGACCAGGCAAGCTCCTAGACCGGGCAAGCTCCTGGACCAGGCAAGCTCGTGGACCAGGCAAGCTCGTGGACCAGGCAAGCTCGTGGACCAGGCAAGCTCTTGGACCAGGCACGCTCCTGGACCAGGCAAGCTCTTGGACTAGGTAGGCTCGTGGACCAGGCAAGCTCTTGGACGAGGCAAGCTCTTGGACGAGGCAATCTCCTAGATCAGGCAAGCTCGTGGACCACGCAAGCTCCTGAACCAGGCACGCTCGTGGACCAGGCAAGCTCATGGACCAGGCACGCTCCTGGACCGGGCAAGCTTTGGACAAGGCAAACTCCTGGACCAGGCAAGCTCTTGGACCAGAAAAGCTCTTGGACCAGGCAAGCTCCTGGACCAGGAAGGCTCCTGGACCAGGCAAGCTCCTAGACCAGGCACACTCCTGGACCAGGCAAGCTTCTGGACCAGGCAAGCTCCTGGACCAAGCAAGCTCTTGGACCAGGCAAGCTACTGGACCAGGCAAGCTCGTGGTCCAGGCAAGCTCCAGGACCAGGCAAGCTCTTGGACCAGGCAAGCTCCTGGACCATGCAGACTCGTGGACCAGGCAGACTCGTGGACCAGGCACGCTCCTGGACCGGGCAAGCTCCTGGACCTTGCAAGCTCCTGGACCACGCAAGCTCTTGGACCAGGCAAGCTCCTGGACCAGATAAGCTCTTGGACCAGGCAGGCTCGTCGACCAGGCAAGCTCTTGGACCAGGCAAGCTCCTAATCCACGAAAGCTACTGGACCAGGCACGCTCATGGACCAGGCACACTCCTGGACAAGGAACGCTCCTCGATGAGGCAAGCTCGTGGACTAGGCACGCTCCTGGACCAGGCAAGATCCTGGACTAGGCAAGCCCTTGGACCAGGAAAGCTCTTGGACCAGGCAAGCTCCTGGACCAGGAAGGCTCCTGGACCAGGCAAGCTTGCAGACCAGGCACGCTCCTGGACCAGGCAAGCTCCTGGACCAGGCAAGGTCCTGGACCAGGCACGCTCGTAGACAAGGCACGCTCTTGGACCAGCCAAGCTCTTGGACCAGGGAAGCTCCTGGACCAGGCAAGCTCCTGGATCAGGCATGCTCCTAGACCCCGCAAGCTCCTGGACCAGGCATGCTCGTGGACCAAGCATGCTCCTGGACGAGGCACGCTCCTGGACAAAGCAAGCTCGTGGACCAGGCACACTCCTAGACCAGGCAAGCTCCTGGACCATGCAAGCTCCTGTACCACGCAAGCTCTTGGACCAGGCACGCTCCTGGACCAGGCAAGCTCTTGGACCAGTCACGCTTCTGGACCAAGCAAGCTCTTAGACCAGGCAAACTCCCAGACCACGCAAGCTCTTGGACCAGGCACGCTCCTCGACCACGCAAGCTCTTAGACCGG